AATCGAAAATGTGTCATTTTGAACTACGACAAGGCAAGCTCGTATTTTCCAGAGCAAAATTTGCTGAAGCTTAAAGTATAGAAATGGGAAACTCTCCAGCATCTGCCGTAACCTCCTGACTTGACTTCTTCAGATTTTTATTTGTTACGGTCTCTACAGAAAAAAATTAAATGACAAAAAATTGACTGTACGCGAAGTCGAAAACTACCTTACAAATTTTCTTCCAACAAAAAAACACGAAGTTTCTGCAGAAATGGTATCAAACAAGTTTGTAGAATGGGAGACAGTTGTTAAAAACAATAGAGACTTTGTACTTGACTAATAAATGTTTTTTGTATGTAAAATTTTATTTTTAATCTTCTTATCGGGCAGGAAGATTTGCAATGATCAAATTTTACAAATGCCAACCCAATTATAAAAGTACGCACCAAAAAACATATTACATTATCAACTTTTACTGAGTCCGTTCTTAAAAAAATCTAAAACAAACGCTCTGTACATAAAACCGTTCCCAAATTATCATGCAAAAAAACACCAAACATAATGTTTACTACTACTGCTACTACTGCTACTACTACTGCTACTACTACTGCTACTACTACTACTGCTATTACTAGCACACACATATACATACACACATTATCATCTGAATATCACATAGACAAACTAGAATTATTATACACTTACATATATAAAGCAATATTTATCGTTTTCAGTTAGGCTTGGAATTTGTTCATTTCTTTCAACTTCGAAAGAATGTGTTGTCTCTTCTTGAATTCGGAACGCCATAAATTATACCAACGTTTGTTTAACAAGTCGAATGCACATGAAACGTGATTAACCAATGAAAGTCAAACAACACAAAAGTAAAATTACCAGAATTTCTTTCTTCTTTTTCTCCATAATTCATTCTCTGATGAAGCATTAATAAAAGTGAAACATGATAGATTGATAAACGTTGCATATTTGTTGTTTATCTTATACGTGATCTATGATACTATACTATATACTATGCTATACTATCTACATACTAAACTATATTTATTAGAAAATGTATTCATTTTAAACGCGGAAGGGACTATAAAGATCACTTCAAAAGGGCAGACATCATTATTGGTTAGCAAGGAATAGAAAAAGCTGATTATTCCTATTCCTTTTTTAATTTTATTTCATAGACATACTCGCATCTAAGTAAAGAAACGGACGGATATAACTGATCAATTTTTTTTCTTTCTTTTTGCTTCTTATCTCAAAACTTATGATTTCATTGCTTAACCTAGGGTAATGTAGCGATACAACTCACACCAGACACCAGGTTCGATCTCAAGCTGCAACTTCTTCCAGTCAAATGCTTGTGGCTTATAAAATAAATATTCCGACAGATCGTTACCCACGAAATAAAACCATTAAAGGAAATTGTAGCAGTAGGCACATTTTATTCGGTTGCAACCGTCTGCTGTAGACAAGCGAGGCAGAGGTGAAGCTAGTTGAGGGAAGGTGCGGGGGGCGAACGGCCTAATCGGCGTGCGGGCGTGCGCCTCCTTTTGCGCGTCGTGGCAAGCGGTTCTCTTGTCCCTCTTTCATGTCTTTCTGACTTTTGATCTTAGGAACCACTGTCTTATAGAGAACATCATCTTGACCACTCTATCTAAAAAGTCATTCATCAAGAACTCATGGGCTGGCTTCATTCAGTGATCTTCTTTGTCGGGATCGTTTGACCTGGTTCTTGGGAGGTCCACTGTATTAAGTTGGTCTTTGCCAAGCCAGATAATTATTAAAGCAATTTTTTGGGACGCGTTACAGGGGGCTCCTTAGGAAATATTCTATGACACTTATATAGTCACAGTAGGAATTGTCCAAACTTAGTAAAAGGAAGCATTTGATTCCCCAATGAGAAGATGTAATTATATCTCATGTTAATAAAAGAACCCCATTCAATAACCCTTTTTATTTGGTTAACAATAGAGTAAAAAAAAAAAAAACAAAAAAAAACACGAATCGCGAATTTCCTTTCCGCGCCGATAACATTTGCCCTATCAACTCATCCAAGGCTATAGTTGAGGGCTACCCATTGAAGATAGAATTCGCAACATCAGTGGTCTTCGAGAAAAGCTTTCTAACCATCGTGCTACAGCAGGCACCTATGCGTTCGCTTATATGTCAGTACCTCCCAATCTCACGTCGGAAGCCGGCATTTGAATCATCGTTGTGGAGACGTAATTATATTCAATTTTTTACTTTCTGCTTATATAAAATAGACACAAAGATTGATAAGCGATGTCCTGTCGGCTATTGTCACTCAGGTGAAATAAAACTTTGACACCATGAAAATGTCACTTTTCAGCGCTTTGTCGTTTGTAAACTAACGCCATTAGTTCGTGTATCTGCCACTAGAGGTCTTCGATTTGATTTCAAACCGTGATTTAGCGGTTCATAAACCGATTTGTTAAATCGGATAATTAAGCATCCAATCACCTAAAAAGATTCTAAAGTTATGAACTTTCGATGTTTATTCTAATATACAATTCCAGATATATTTATTAATTTTTCCCTGAATTTTATGAATTATTTTTAATATACTATATTAAAATGCACACGCAAATTATATTAACATGTAACACGTGGCATTTTTTTGGTTGGTTGTTAATCCGGTACTCAACCTCCTTAGTATATAAAAAAAAATCTTGACTTATTCCTGACTCTTTTTCTTTCCAGATAATTTTTCTTTAAATATATTGTTACTCGTAAGCACAATAAAAATGATTACAATGAAACAATGGCGAGTAGTTTTATTGTATGAGTACAAACTAGGGAAAAAAAGAACCATTTTTGCATCGAATCATTACATGCGATGAGTAATAGATACTCTTTGACAATAGTAAGAGAGTAGGCCAGTGGTTAAATGCAAGTGAATCATCAAAACAATACCCAAAACCTCGACTCCACTCTAAAAAAGTTAACGGTTACTGTATGGTGATCTTTCAAAGGAGTTATTCATTATTCATTCTTTCCTCAAGGGAAAGCAATAACAGCGACCTCGTATTGTGGAGAAATTGAGTGTATGCACGAAAAAATGAAAAAAGAAGATTTGTGAATAGGGATGGGCCAATTTTGAAGCACGGCAACGTACGGCTGCACGCTTCTCAATCAACTGTTCAAAATCTGCATAGGCCTTAATTATGAAAATTTGCCTCATCCACCATATTCACCTGATATCTCTCCTACTGTTTATTACTTATTTACAAACTTACTTTACTTACAAACTGAGAAAAAGAAATATTTTTGCATCGTATGGTGGTCTTTCAAAGGGGTTATTCATTACTCATTCTTGCCTCACGGGAAAACAATAACAGCGACCTAGTATTGTGGAGAAATAGTGTGTATGCATGAAAAAAGAAACATCCCAGATTTGTGAATAGGGATGGTCAAATTTTTCTGCACGATAACGCATAGCGGCATGCTTCTCAATCAACTGTTCAAAAGCTGCATAGGCCTTAATTACGAAAATCTGCCTCATCTTCCATATTCACCTGATATCTCTCCTACTGTTTATTACTTATTTAAGCATTATGAGCTTTTTATGCGCAATAAAACATCCTCCAATAAGGAAAAGGTAATCAAGGATTTTGAACTGTTTCTCACATCAAAGGATGAATTTTTTAAGAGATGGGATCAAAAATTTAGAAGTATGTTGGAGAACAGTCATTCATCAATATGGTGCCTATTTTAACTAAATAAATTATTTAACATTTCAGAAGCATTTTATTCATTTTCTATAAAGTACGTTATTTCATGGGTGACCACGTAATATATTTCGGCTAGATAAAAGCGATTTCTTTTAAGAGTGAATTTATGCTTTCGATCATTTTACGGGATCCGGTAATCAGGTTCTCCGGATAATTGAGTAGATAATCATTAAAAAAACAATCTGACGCAGCAAATCTTCAAAACCTCTTTCCGTTAATGACGGTAATCGTCGTGTTAAATTAAGTTCTAAGAAACCGTCCCAAGTGTACGAGCAGTACTTGCATTAGAATACTAAATCAGAGAGGAAAAGAAGAGGGGGGGAGAAAGTGAGAGAAGAAGGAGTAAAGATGAACGAGAACGAAAGAGGAGGAGGAGGAAGAGAACGGGAAGAAATGATAGAGAGTGAAAAAGAGAGAAGACAGAGAGAATAGAGAGGGAAGAAGAAGGGGGAGAGAAGAGAGCGAGGGAAGAGAGCGGGAGAAGAGAGCGAGGGAAGAGAGCGAGAGAAGAATGAGTAAAGATGAGTGAGAAGGAAAGAGGAGGAGGAGAAAGAGAACGGGAAGAAATGATAGAGAGAGAAAAAGAGAGAAGACAGAGAAGATAGAGAGGGAAGAAGAAGAGGGAGAGAAGACAGAGAGGATAGAGAGGGAAGAGGAAGAGGGAGTGAAGAGAGCGAGGGAAGAGAGCGAGAGAAGAGAGCGAGGGAATAGAGCGAGAGAAAAAGAGAGAAGACAGAGAAGATAGAGAGGGAAGAAGAAGAAGAGGGAAAGAAGAGAGCGAGGGAAGAAGGGTGAGAGAAATGCAAGAATGAAGTAAAGAGAAGTATAGCGAAGGGGGACTGAGAAAAGAGAGAGATGGAAATAAGTAAGAGAAAAAAGAGGAACGAGAGAAGAAGTAGAGGGAGAGAAGAGGGGAAAGAGAAGAGAAGGAAGGAGAGGGAAAATAGATGGTTGGAGAAGAGAGAATAGGGAGAGAGAGAGAAAGAAGAATGAAGAGAAGAGAGCGAGAGAGGATAGAGAAGAGATATGTGAGAGAAAAAGAGACAGTGGATAGAGAAAGATGTGAGAGAGAGGGACATAGAGAAAAAGAGAGAGAAGATGGTGAGTAGAAAGAGGAAAAGAAGAAAGAAAATCTCCAGAGAGGGTGAGAGATATATATATATATATATATATATATATATATATATATATATATATATATAGAGAGAGAGAGAGAGAGAGAGAGAGAGAAACGTATAGTGTAAGAATAGATACCTTCACGACTCCGGCTTCGTACATGATGATACAATTGATGGCATTCTTCGACAGTTGATAAAGGGCTCTGGCTGTAGAACGATGGACATTTTCATCTCGAGATTGGAGATATTTTACTAAAGGAGCAACGGCAGAATGGTTTCCGAAGGACACTCGGTTGTGGCCCCAGTTACAGCAGCGAGCAATCGCCTCGGCCAGATGTTGACGCAGCCTATCATTTGTCTGAAAGGAGAGATTAAAAGAAAATGAAGAATAACGGAGTACCATTATCCAGATGAAAAAATATCGTGTTTATCGGCTTTGCCGCCAACAAACTCCAATTACAGCAGCAAGAGCTTTGGAAGTGTCTAACGACTCGTTTATCCGCGATGCAGAAACGACCTTCAGTCTGTTATTAACTGGGGCAAAGAATGACTTGTTAAATTTAAACGCCCCCAAAACGAAACTGCTCTCTATTAAGAGACCTCTTTCTGCCTTCCATCAGCGTGGTTGATGCTAACCTTCATTCGTTGTCACATCTCGAGATAACATTCTCGGATGACATGAAGTGGAAAGACTATATTGAATCTATTGCTAGGTCTGCTACTAAGAAAATTGGTTCTAGAGAATTTTTTTCTCTCCAGAATCAATCTTACATATCTATAAGTCTAGAATTTGTCCACGCTTAGAATATTGCTGCCACATATGTTCCTGTGCTCCTGCTATATATTTAGAAATTCTTGATAAGATCCAAAGAAGAATCAGCACTATTATTAGTTCTGACCTGTCATCTCGGCTTCAGTCACATTCCCACCGCCGTAGAGTTGCTTCCCTGTACCTTTTCTATAAATACTTTCATGGTAATTGTTCATGTTGAACTTTTCACTATGGTACCGCGACTTTATGAATTTAAGCGCAGTACTAGACCATCAACGAAGTTTCATCAATTTACAGTTAAGACGGTTAGATATAACCGCAAATTCTATGCCAACTGTTTTTTCTCGCACTTCTCACTTGTGGATCTCCCTTACGTCTCCATGATTTCCAGCCAACTCTGATCTACAAAAAATTCAATACAATGTCAATCGCTATTCACTGTATTCCTGACCACTCCTCTATTGTTCTCTCTTCTTAGCAATGTTTCTGATTTCTAATGCTTCCACACCTAGTAATCCCTTGTGTCTTAGTGGCTTTACTGCCTTCTTTTGGGTGAAATCTCTCTCTCTCTCTCTCTCTCTCTCTCTATATATATATATATATATATATATATATATATATATATATATAATATGTGAAAATATATAGAAAATAGGAAGGAACTGGTTAGGTAAATAATCCAAAGTCCCTTAGTATTTTAGTTATTATTTTTAAAAAATAGTCCTCGATACAAAAGTAGAGCATAAATATAATTATTTATTTAAAGATATGATTCCAAATCGCTACATAAGAGGTCTCATGTTTCAAAACAACAGAAATTCTTAGCTCTAATTAATAAACACTTCCCCACCAATAGTAAGCTTAGTAATATATTCAATAAGAACACCCTAAAATTGAGCTACAGCTGCTCTGATAATCTTGAACGCATAATAAAAAAACACAATAATAAGATCTTGAACAAACCCCCATGCCAAAACAGTATTAATAAAAACTCTGCACTTAAATCAGACGATAAAAGGGAAAAATTATGTAACTGTAGAAACCCAGAAGACTGCCCATTAGAAAATAAATATTGTATTAATTCTGTAGTATACCAATGTACTATTTCATCCACAGAGAGCCCTAGAACTAATATGATATACATTGGGTCCACGAAGAATAATTTTAAAGATAGATGGAGGCAGCATAAGTGCTCCTTTAATAATATAAACAAAAGAAATCAGACCACTATCAAAATATTTTTGGCACCTGAAGGAAACAAATAAGACACCAAAAGTTAAATGGAAAATTATTGACAAGGCTAGAATATGTAAAGCTTGGGATGACCCATGCCCTTTATATGCCTCCATGAAAAATTGCACATTATTAAACTTCTAAATAATAATAATCTATTAAATAATAGACACGAGTTAACGGTTTTTTTGTAGGCATCATCAGATTTTTTGGTTTGAATTATTAGATAAAAAAATTTAATATAACTTGTTTAACAAATAGCCCAATCATCAGATTGATAGTAGGAATAATTAACTACAAACATGTTTACAACATAACACCCTTCATAATCCATAGCCCAAGTTAGTAGTTTAAATACCTTACATATAAGATAACCCTTTATGAAGTCGTCAAAAAACAAACGTTACGAAAGTTTTTCTTTTTATATGCACAATTCCCTTTCATAATAAAATAAAATAAAATAAATAAATAAATCTCCATAGACAAGCAAACTAGACGATGGCTAATACATCTTCCGTTTCATTTTTTGACACCCCACCTTTCCCCGACTTGACACCTTGAAAGTATCTCTATACCGCTACTTATTATTAACACCCTACACTCGCCTACCCAATTTAGACAATTCACCCTAGCTGTTACCATGGGGATTTTGATTTCAATTTTAAAACAAGTAAATTTCAGATATACGTTATTCCAACAAAATTTCGCTTGAAGATGGAACGGAGCCCATTTTAATTTCAACTCAATTTAATTTAAAAGGATTATATTGAAGTTTTCGGCTCTTGTTTTGAAACATGAGACCTCTTATGTAGATTTGGAATCATATTTTACATAAATAATTATATATATATATATATATATATATATATATAGACATAGTTTTGTCTTTATTAAATAATATAGACATAGTTTTGTCTTTATTTAAAGTAAATTCCTTTCATAAGCTTAATAACATTATCATTGAAAGATGAAAGAAAAACACCATACTGATACATGTTTTTAATGCTATCTAAGCTTTTCGGCTTACATAAGCCATTATCAAAGGTGACAAATTACATTTCAATATATTAAACAATACACGGATAAAACAACGACAAACTCGTGTATACGAGACGCGGAAGTGAAAATCGCACCGCAGCTCGTGACGTCACACATGACCACGCGAAAGTGGTGGCATCCTTAAAGTCTTGAAGTTAAAAATGTGGTAAATCTTCTCGTCATAAATTTGATAGTTCTTCCATTGTTTCTTTGGGAATGCAATGTTTTCGATCGAATATGGCTAAGAAACCATAACACTAGATTAAAAAAGCATCAAACTTTTGAATAGAAATTTGATGTGAACAGAATTTCAATCTGGAAATATGCTAATAAATATTTGCTAATAAATTATCAAAATGGTATAATTCATTTTGATACTATGAAGTAATTTGTTTTCATTCACAGATTAAAAAAAAATATATATATAAGCAGAATATGTCCCTAAATATTACCTGCCTTTATAGAACCGGTTCCTGGAAAATTCAAAAAATTCAATATATATATATATATATATATATATATATATATATATATATATATATATATATTATTTATTCGAAAATTATAACCTAAATATGTTATAAAATCACTACAAAAATAGCCATTTTATTTCAACACTTCTGCTGTGCCATCAAGAGATGGTGTTGAATGTAGAATAAATCACTATAGAATATAATCACTATACTTGGTATATATATATATATATATATATGTGTGTGTGTGTGTGTGTGTGTGTGTGTGTGTGTGTGTGTGTGTGTGTGTGTGTGTGTGTGTGTGTGTGTGTGTGTGTGTGTGTGTGCGTAGACAAAGGAATTTTGTATGTGTGTGTGTGTGTGTGCGTAGACAAAGGAAATTTAAATGCCACACATATAACACATCGGTTCTTAATAATGACTGCGAAAGTCGAAAGTAGTCGGACAAAAATAACAAAATTTGAACTTCGGACAGTTTATCCGCAACTTTGAGCTCAAGACTCAACATTTTATCCGAAAATTGGACAAATATAATAAACAATGAAATAGACATTGTCGTTTTTTTTAAAATCAAACTTCTTTGGATATATATATATATATATAGGGCGCAATGGGTAATTTGTTGGCATTTTAAAGTTTTTATTTCACAGCGCATGCGTGTTTTTTGTTTTTGATTTTGTCGAATGCACAGTATAGTAGGGTCAGTTGGGCACCGTCTGTAAGAAAAAGAGCACCATGACGCATTTCACTGCACCATTCCATTCGTGGCAGAAGCTCCAATACGAATACTTCAGATGATTACGAAGGAGTGATCACTAGCGATGGCGATGTTATGCCTCCATTCATCTTCCCACAGGACCTCAGATTCAACATAGAGGCCTACATCAAGTGCTTTGAGGAGGTAGTGCTGTCCCTAGTCAAGAGGGTGGCTGCTGGAAGACCCTATATCTGGCAACAGGACTATGCACCATTCCATACAACCAGGAAAACTCTGCAATTTCTGCGGCCACATCACCCCTTACATCTGGCCACCTATAACATAATCAAGGGAGTTGCAGTCTGAGGAGTTACCTCCAGATGGCAACTCCCTTGATTATTATGTGTGGGACATAGTTGAGCGAGAGTCCAACAAAACTCCTTGTAAGACCAAAGATGAACTGAATGCAATGACTATGGCAGCATTCGCCATCTTAAACAAAGGGACCCCCTAGAAAAGTTTCAGGAGATTTCGAAGTCATCTGGAGGCCGTGGTTGAAGCCAATGACGATTTTATTGAATAAATTTTCTCTGTTGTATACCAAGACATTTTTGTGCAATTTTGGTAAATATATTTGTTAAAATAAGTATTATTTTCATTTTTGTGTAATGGAAGCTACAATTTTATCCATCACACCCTATATATATATATATATATATATATATTTATATATATATATATATGTACATATACACAATACACACATAAACATATATATATATATATATATATATATATATATATATATATATATATATAAACAATTAATTACGGTTAACCTATACTAGAACTAAAAATCTTCGCTTCCAGTGAAACAACAAGATTGGAGATTGGCTCTCAGTTCTGCACGAGAGATGCACTATCACATGGGCTTTAGTTAAGAACGCCATACTATAGACACAAACTACAAAGAGATATCGAATGTACGGCGGCTCAAATCAAATAAAACCTTTTACGTGCCGCCGTGTCGTTTCAGGACGAGGGCGATAATGACTTTTTACAATTTCATATTCTTTCTAGCACTAAGCAATGTTTGCCACTTCCTTACATTCACCCTCATTCTATGTTGTATTATTTATTTCCCAAAACTCGTTAGGCATGATACTGTCTGCCTTCCCTCTTGTAGACATTATGATTTACTCAGTAGGTTGGATACCAATTACAACATATACAGTTTAGAGATCTTCTGATGTCACCTTGTAGTTGAGTTCCACTGCCTGACATAGGGATTGATCTCACGACCATCGACATTCAATCAACGTTTATATCTGCTGTCTATTTCCCGAAGGTGTTGTAATCTTTGGAGCCTTAAACCTAATGTTTGTTCTTTCCTGATCAAAGTCTTCCATATGGTACTCAGTACTACGCTGCGTCTACTAAGCATATTATCAGAACCTGGCTTGTGCAGTAGGTATTTTCAGTCGGATTATTTTGCAATGCCGCCTTCTGTCTATGATTTATCGGATGGTAAAATGGTTGAAACGTTGTGACTATAACAAGAGGAAGAAAATTAATCTGCGTAGATGGTTTGCTTTCGGGGCAATTCTAGAATAAATGACGATGTGAAGAGATTAGAAGGGATCAAGAGAGATTATCCTTTTCGAGACATGCACATACATACCGTATTGGTTAAATGAGCCAACATCGGCACAACATTGTGGTCAGTTATTACAGCCAAATTTTCCTCATCTTTTGCGATTTTCGCAATGGCGGCACAGACACTGGCCAACACTTCGATGTTGTCCGACTTGAGGAGATTGACAATAAGTTCCAATCCGCCAACAAACGAACGAACCATTTCACCCGCATCCTGAAATAAAAAGTGTTACAGATTTGGATTTATCGCCAGTAGGCCAACATGCAAGTTACAAATTGGAAATGTCAAACTCAAACAAGTATAATTTATATACCAGGGAAATGTTTTAACAGAAGAAGGAAAGTTTAACAATAAAATGCAAAGGTGCATTGAAATAGAAAAAGATGCCTTCTAAAAGTTAAGTAGAATATTAAGAAACAGAAACATATCATTATAAACAAAGATTCGAGTATCGAACTGTTATGAAATAATCCTCCTATATGGCAGTAAATGCTGGACAATCTCCTCACAGATGAAGAAGAGACTTGAAGCAACAGAAACAAAGAAAATAGTACTGAACTGTTACGTAATATCAGTCTTCGTATATGGCAGTGAATGCTGGACAATCTCCTCACAGATGAAGAAGAGACTTGAAGCAACAGAAACAAAGAAAATAGTACTGAACTGTTACGTAATATCAGTCTTCGTATATGGCAGTGAATGCTGGACAATCTCCTCACAGATGAAGAAGAGACTTGAGGCAACAGAAATGTTTTTCTACAGAAGGATGCTGAGAATAGATCAATTAATAGTATTATTGACATTAACCCGTGGTACCACAGCAATACCTCACAATATCATCAGACTTTGTTAGTTCTTCATTATATTGCAGGAGTACCAGGTGCAAGCAGATGAAGTTTCTGCCTCAATCTTGAACTCCAATCTCTTTTGATATCAAATAGATATTAATCAAATATATCAAGGCTGAAGTGGAAATGACAGTTTACCACCTAACCACAGGATAAGCATTAGTTGTAAAGAAAACATTTTCATCATCTCAGTCCAAACATAGCACGAAAAAAACAAAGGAACAGAAATGAACCAATCACTATTAAGTATGTTGCTCAGAAATACCAATGACCAGACAAACAGGAAAATAGGACTGAAGGAACAATACATGACGATGATGATTGTCGCTTCTTTGCAGAAGACAATCTCTTCACTTGCTAGCTTTTTTTTTTCTGTATTTTTCATTCAGAATTTTATTATTTCCATCATTTTTACCCGAGTTAAGGCTCTGCTATGGTCTCATGAATCATTCTTAAGGCCAGCTTCATTTTTACAACCTCTCTTACACACGTGACAAACATAAAGGTTGTCTGTGTTACCTATATTGGAATCTTACCTGTCCCTGTGTACAATCATGTGATGTGTGAGTCCTGCAACAAACTTACAGTCCATGTCACAAAAAATCGTACAAGTAACCTGCGGGTCTTTCTGGAAGGCTTGCATGCACAGGAGTTCGCATCTGACCACCCTCGTGTGATCTCACGCGACTGGCTAAACCAGCCGCCGAAAGCGTGTTTTTTCCATAAATACTGCAAATAAGTTGGCGTCCTAATCGTTCTGGAACAGGGTTCTGTTCCTCCCTTCTTAATGGCTAGGACGCCAATATATATATTTTTGTTAGGATATATATATGAAGACGCCAACTCACATGCAGTTTTATTGCACCAAAGAAATATGAAGGAAGTTTTTCTAGTTACCCCTCAAAAAAAAAAAAAAAAAAAAAAAAAAAAAAAAAAAAAAGAAAAAGAAAAAGAAAAGAAAGAAAGCAAAAAAGCGCGCACTACATCCTGATTCTATTCTTAAAGCAAGACTGACAATTCATGTGACTGGTATTCAAGGTAATGTATAGTTTTCTTTTATAGACATATAAAAGGAAGGAAAAAGGAAAAATGACTGCCTCCATGCTGAAGGGTAATTGTTTTTTTTTTAATAAATTGTTACTTGGAAGCGTTACACAACACAATATTCCAAATTTTTCCTATGTGTTTTGTCGTATGTCAGTCTAAGCGAGTTGCCTTGGGAGAAGAAAAAGTTTAATTCGGAGAGCTTTATCGTCATAATTGGGGAAAATATAAAAAAAATAATCGTTTATATTATTTATATAACTTCATATTTACATTATTACTACAAAAAGAACACACTAAATTACACAATTATATATATATATATATATATATATATATATATATATATATATATATATATATATATATATATATATATATATATATACTAAAAACAAAAAAACAAAACTCATATATATATATTTTTTAATAAAAAAAATAAACAAAACAAATTACCTTCATATATATATATATATGTATATATATATATAAATATATATATATAATTCGGGGATTTACCACATTACAAAATTCATACAAAACAATTCTCACTTGAAATATTTGAACTCTAGCATTGCGACTTGCATGTTACAAAATTATATACCCGTATATATATATATATATATATATATATATATATATATATATATATATATATATATATATATCATTGAAAACGACAGACAAGGTGCTTTTATTTAGCTTTTTATACAATTTCTCACGTATTTTTTCGGATGATAAATTATATAAAAACTGTCCGAATGTTCTTTTTTATCCGAGCACTTTCGGCTATACATTTAGCCATTTTCAAGGATTATATTTTAACTGTTAAAATAAGAAATAGTTTGTTGTATGTATGTTTTATAAAATGTTTTCATTTTTCAAAACACGGTCAAGATATTATGTCCATGTTCAAAGTTAATATTAAGTGTTGGTTTGTTTGTTTTTATTAATAAGGCTTCCATTATTTTTAGCCTTTTTTTGCATATAGATGATGCTATTATATTAATGTTGACAACAAGTATGTTACGAATAGTGTCCGGTAGGTCTCCATGAATATTTAAATGAGATCTAATTGAGCTATTGTCAGAAAGGTGTAGAGTTAGTCTGCCTGTCAAACATGTTGTAGTGTGGCTTATATAATTATTTACGAATTTTGATTGATCAGGAATACAATTCATTAATCAGCATTTAAATTCGTAAATAATATTTGCCCTATTTAATTTCGTTCTAGGAGGTGAATTATAATTTTTAAGTATAAGATTGCAGGTTTTATATTTTTTGTAATAAATAATCTAATTTTTTTGCTATTGTCAACTGGTGTTATGCATTTTTTCATAATGTTCTTAATTCTGCATTCATCCTGGTTATAATTATATATTATATAACTTCTATATATACAATTGTCTACCGTATTCAATGAAATGTGCATGAAAGAAGGATTGCTGCCTAAATACACAAATATATATAATATATATATATATATATATATATATATATATATATATATATATATATATATATATATGAAAATTTCTCCGATTTAACCAGTAGAGAAGACAATATTTATGAATAAAAATGACAATAGGAAAACTGGTAATTGCTGTCGCGTTTCGTCCAATGTGGACTTTATCAAATCAAAATACGAATTTTCGTAATTTTGCTTTGATAAAGTCCACATTGAACGAAACGCGTCAGCAATTACCAGTTTTCCTATTGTCATTTTTTTCATATATATATATATATATATATATATATATATATATATTATTTGTGTGTGTGTGTGGAGTGAGTGAGTGAGTGAGTGTGTGTGTGTGTGTGTGTGTGTATATACGCGGGATGTGATAGATAAATTATCGTGAAAAAGACACAAAAATGAAAATAACATTGGATTCTCATTTTAACAGATATGTTTACCAAAATTACACAAAACTATCTTGAAATACTAAAGAGTAAATTTATTCGATGAAATCGCCATTAGCTTCATCCGCGCTCTCCAGACGACTTCGGAATCTGCTGCAACTCTTCTGGACGGTTTAACCCAGCAGTACTCAAAATCTTTTTTCATTGTACCCTTTTAGGTATGCCAACATGTCATTCAAGATGATCTAAATAAAAAAAATGAATAAATAAAAGCTGCGTTTTCGATTTGCATTTTGCCGCTGTATAAATATTGTACACGTCTGGCTGTAGTGCCAATTTCCCCACTGAAACCCTACGTGGTTGAGAACAACTACCTTAGAAGGATTTTAGTCAGGCTCCCCTCGAAGTCTATTTATAGTTGCATGTTCGCCATTATGGTTTCATGCCAGGCAGACTAAGAACAGCTTAGCAAATATCTGCACCCTGTAACTTTCACTGTGCATCATACTGCTGCTTGTTTATGAACACTATCAAAAAGTATGTCAAACCTCCCGAACAAAAACGAAAGCCCGCAGTATATGGGAGACATTGACAACATCATGGGCGTATTCGTTTTTAATTTTATGAGTAAGAAAATCCGCCGTCTGAAGTTGCGAGACTCTAAGCAGTTTGTTGGCAAAGAACTTCAATTTACAACCTAGAAGTATTTTCCTCCACCATTCCCTACTTGCCGTTTCATTCTGGTGCCACTTTGTAGGATCTAAACTAGTTACCCGCTCATCTGCTTGCTTGTTCAAAGAGACGGGCTCCTGAATAGGCTTTCATGACTGGACATGGACAAAGGCTGGAGTGATTCAAGTGTCATGTGTGCACAGGCTGACCAGTTTAAGTGAACAAAGAGCACTTAAAGTGTCAACGTCATATAACCGAATAGTCAAATCGTCCATTAATGAAAATTACATCTGCTCTCCTGTTAAAGAAGACAAAAAATGTATTTTTTTTAATCATTTCGCTCCAAGCAAGGGAATAAAGTCACTAAGATGCAAGGGGTTACTTGACCGTTAGGGAATATGAGAAAATATACTATTATGGAGAGAGAACAATAAAAGAACAAGAATTAAGAAGACAGAAGATAACGATTGACATAGTATTTAAATTTTTGAAGATCAAACTTGAATGGCAAGCAAGAGAGTTCCACAAGCAAGAAGTACGATAGAAGAAACTGTTAGCATAGAACTTACGGTTGCATCTAACAATTTCAACTGTAAAATGATGAGAACTTGTCGATAATCTAGTATTGCGCTTAAATTCATAAATTTTAGGTATTATAGAGGAAAGCTCATACGAACAATTACCATGAAAACTTTTATAGAAAAGGCAGAGGGAAGCTACATTATGGCAGTGGGGAAGAGAGTGAAGCCGAGAAATCTTTTCTTCATATTCTAA